GCTCTCTCCCACCTTCAATACCACGACTGAGGTGCCCTTGAGCAAGGCACCGAACCCCCAACTGCTCCCCGGGCGCCGCAGCATAAGTGGCTGCCCACTGCTCCGGGTGTGTGTTCACTGCTGTGTGTGTGTTCACTGCTGTGTGTGTGCACTTTGGATGGGTAAATGCAGAGCACTAATTCCGAGTATGGGTCACCATACTTGGCCACATGTCGCGTCACTTATTAACATTTAAAGGAAAATGCTACAAATCTGCATTTTCTGAAAAAAGCTGTTTTTGACATGGTAAAAAATATGTTTTTTACACTACCATTGAGAAATTTTAACCAAACTATGTTACAGACTTTTCATTAAGACCCTAAAGAATCATATCAACATGTGGAAAATGGGCATCCTATGACCCCTTTAAGCTATATCCTAGACTAGAGAGTGCCATATACTGTTGAGTATCTGGTGTACAGAATGAAAGGTTTTCCTTTTATAGTTTTACTTTCACTTACAAATGAATCCTGCTTGCTTGCTGATGATCTTTTGCTGTTGTGTAAATGTTGATGTAGGTCAAGCACAGAGTGCTGACAGATGCAACAGCTTTATTCATGCAAGTACTTATAGTAAAAAAAGTATGTTCTGTTCTGTACAACATGAGATATGTTTTTAATAAGTAGAGAATTAATGTATCACATGTGAATATAAACCAGTGCAAGCTTTGATTTATAGTTTAAAGTGTGAAAAGAAAATCTGTGTTATAGTTTTCTACATACCTTCTTTGTCCTCTGGTAGAATCTGCTAGCTTGTTTCCGGAGTGGTTCGGACAATTTCACTGGAGACGCATGTGAAGTGAAAGTTGCAGCCCCCTCACACTCCCCTTCAGCCGAGGCTGAGTACATAAGGATCCGGGCCATGGCTCAACAGGTACCTGTGTACCTCAAGTCATTTACAACTGTACACTGACCCAGACATCTTATACCAACTGATGCTGCTAGAACATATTGATACTGTGAGAAAATAGAGCAATAGGTATAAAATGGATAGTTATGGCTATGAAATCTCAAGACAAGTGCTTTATAGATTAAACATAGCTTCAAAGCAGCTTCATAGTAATAAACAGGAAAACAGCATCAATGTCAAAGAGTTCTGCAGTCAGTAATTTCATTCATAATTACAACTTCTTTGGACTATTTCAAAGTCTGTTGTACTGTATGTGTCACAGTTCCTGGTGCTGGTTGGTGGCGCTATGATTGTGAACCACAATTGCCACATGCATGTTATCAGCCCCCATTACTGAACACACAACTCCAATTTGATCTAAATCAGACAGTATACTTGTATGAGAGGCTTGCTGTTTCCCTTTTTTTGCTATAAGTGTATTGCCTTGCCATGGCATGTTCAAGATATCGATAATCTATTCTCAATTTATGTTTTTAATTCCTTGGCAAAAATTTGACCAAGTTTGGTGACAATTGCATGAATTCCCAGGAGTATTTAAAAATTTCACTGTCTGCACTTTTCACAAAATCTGTGAAATCCATGTGCTATCTTTTGCCAGGGCCTACATTCAGTGCTTGGGCTCTAAAATATGAAAATCATAGTCACCACTGCATCTGAGAATATTGGGAATTATTAATATAGTAATAAACAGTACTAAAAGTAGTCATTAAAAAAGACAATAGCAAAATATTAGCAAAATGTTTCTTTAAGCAAAATGTTATATTATCTATTGAGCACTGGAGTAGCTGGTGTTTTATTAAAGCAGTTATTCACATAAGGCCATGTGCTAAGGGAATTTTAGGAACTACAACCCCAAAGATATCATCACATTTTCAAGATTGTGATGAGACCAAAGATTAAAATGTAATAATCTGCCATTAGAAAAATGTAGTGGTTGACCACTAGTCTGAACTATCGGGAGGAAGTATATGTCAAGTCAAGTCACCTTTATTTATATAGAGCTTTATACAATACAGATTGTCAAAGCAGCTTTACAGTATTAAACAGGAAAATCTTGTGCTGATAATGCAAGAGCACAATAGAAAACAGTCAGTTTATCAGTTAAAGTCAGATCATTGTTTATTCAGTGATGTCATCGTTCAGCTCAGTTCAGTTCAAATAGTGTCTGTGCAGTCAAGTCGACAATGTTGCCAGAAATTAAGTGTCCCCAACTAAGCAAGCCAAAGGTGACACTGGCACGGAAGCAAAACTCCACTGGTGACAGAAATGGAGAAAAAACCTTGGTAGAAACCAGGCTCAGTCGGGGGGCAGTTCACCTCTGGCCAGACGAAACCAGCATGGTGTGGTTTAATTCCAGGCTGCAACGCACGTCAGATTGAGCAGAGGACTCGTCTGGTTCTTGTGGTCTTGTGCCGATGGCCTTCGAGGTCTTCGCAGGGGATCTGTCTCTAGGTTTCATCTAGTTGACATGGTCTCCGCTGACATTCAGGGCTGTAGAGGTCGTCTCTAGGTGCTGATCCACCATCTGATCTTGATATGGACTGGATCTGGGTGGATACGGTGACCTCTGAATAAAAATAAAACAGACTAATATTAGCGTAGATGCCATTCTTCTTACGATGTAGCGAGTACATCGGGTGTTATGGGAAGTGTTCCTGGTTCTGGTTGATCTAATTAATGCAGCCTAACAATCCTTTAATTGATTTGAGTTATAGAAATGCGATAGTGTATTATGTGTATTCCAGGTTAAAGAGATGGGTCTTTAATCCAGATTTAAACTGACAGAGTGTCTCTGTCTCCTGAACAATGCTAGGTAGATTATTCCAGAGTTTGGACGCTAAATAGGAAAAGGATCTGCCGCCCGCAGTTGATTTTGATATTCTAGGTAATATCAAATGGCCAGAGTTTTGAGATCGCAGACTTTGTGTGAAGAATTCATTGATTATAGTGATCGGATGTATGTTTTTCTTCTTTCAGGTCTTCATGCTAGATACACAGTGCTCCCCTAAAACTCCGAGCAGCAAGGACGGATTTGAACACGCTCAGTCCTGTGTGCTGATTATTGAGCTTCCCGCCGATCAGCACTCCAATGGTCAAGCCCAGAAGAGGTGAGATGATGTGCATTCAAATTCAGCCTGCTATTTATTATTTTAATAATACTCCATATATTATAACGTAATACAGGGCCGGAAGAAAGTTTAGTGGTTGATTGATATGGGTTTCAGTGACTGATTCATAAAATGCTATTTATCCATAGACCTGATATTAAAAGAACTAGTTTTTAAAACCTGCAATATAAAATGTAAGGTAAAATAAAATAGGTAAATTAAGATTAAAATTGAAATGTTGTTTTAATCATACAGTAACATGTGCTTGTATGTTTTCTTATTCTCTTTTTCATGCTGTGCTTGACACAGAAAAATTGGGTAAGGCCACTGCAAACAGAATCTGCATGTAATATTTCATATTTTTCAAGTGGCCTATTACCTCCAGAACCGGGTTGTGCACTGCATGACACTGCATTTGTTTGTTTGATTTTGATTTGATTTGAATTAGATTTTTTTTTTATATCATGATTCAAAATGTGTAGGGCATGGAATAGAAAGTTCATATAGATGATCATATAAATGATCAGATACTGTATGCCTTACATGCATACATATATTTCTGCTACCGCTGTTCCTGAACAAAGTTCTATCCTTAATGACTGTTTAAATCAAATTGGACAGATCAGAGTGCTGTTATATTCTGTTCTGTCCCTGTGCAGGATTCCCTTCAGGACTCTGGTGGTAAGTTTACTGTCCCATCAAGTGCTCCTGCAGAACCTGTATGACATCCTCTTAGAGGAGTTTGGGAAAGCTTCTGGGAGCCTTGAGGGGCAGGGCAGAATCCCCACGGCAGTGTCTGAGCCGAAACCCGCAGGCTTTCTCCGTTACATCTCAATGCAGAACCTGGCCATCATCTTTGACCTGCTGCTGGACTCGTACCGCACAGCGCGGGAATTCGACACCCGTCCAGGACTCAAGTATCTCCTCATGAAGGTGTCAGGGGTGTGTGGAGCTGCTAACTTATACCGCCAGTCTGCCATGAGCTTCGATATCTACTTTCAGGTACATTTACAGTCTTACCTTAGATATAAATATTATAGATGATCAATAATTAACATGTTCTTAAAACTCCATTGAAACATGAACATTCAACGCATCAGTTAGAGATGCAGTACAAGATTTTCTGAGAAACTCTCTTGAAAATTGAAATCAAAACCAAAACAAACGAATTTGTGAATATTTGCTATCTGTCTGTTCTTTGTACGCGCTGAAAATATATTGTGTTTGTACATAGTCCTGGATGTGTAAATAGGGGGAAAAGCAAAGTGGATCGGACCAATCAGAGGAGCACCACAACACTCTTGTAGCCAATCAGCAACAGGGGCATTTACACTCATGATGGGGAGGAGAGAGAGTAAGCAAGCAGGAGATTTGTAGAAGGACTGTAGAAGGAGAGATGACTGAGACATTACCAATGAGGAAAAGGCCAGAGGAATTTCACCAGAAAAAGAAGGGTTACTAGCTACGACTCATGTCAATTTAGGAAAAGCTTTCCAGCGCTGAAGAGTCGTTAGAGATCAGAAAACAGACGCTGAGGCCTCTTTGTTTTGTGAGTAACATTAGTTTAGCTATTTTTTCACAGAACCAAGATATGCTGTTGTTGTAATATTAGCTATAGTAACAGGACTGATTCATCCAATCCATGCTGGAGCAGGCCGTCTGATGCGCCAGCTGTTAGTCGTTGTGTTGCATTGCGTGTTTGTGAATTTAGGGGCGGAGCAATGAAGGGAGGGGTGTGTTTGTTTGGGTGTCGATTTCAAATATCAGCAGTTTTTCTCAGATATCACTTACCACACCTTTAAGTAATTGAATAATTGATTAAAATAATTTCCAACATATTACATGCTAATATCCAAAATACTGTTCTTGACCTGACTTCAATGTACTTTCATCTTCATTTCATCAAAGGGCAAGACAATAATGTATAGTATATTAAACAAGAGTTAAAAAAAAAACACACGTGAGATAAAACAACACAAAACTTATTCAGTATTTCAGACATTGTCATGACCATGTAAAGCTTACCTTGCTGATATTTAAAACAACAGCTTATGTGACATTGATTTTATATAGCAGTTCAACAATGAGTTAACACGGAGTATAAGCAGTTTACTTTTAGCGTACATTTTACACACAATATTGCCAGTTTTTTGCCTTTGCCAATTAAAATAGTTCCAAATGAAACTGTTGGTGTTAATTCCTCATATACGGTACATTTTCAACATTTTGAACAAGTTTTAAATTAAGATTTTTAACATTTTTGAAAAATTCAGCTTCGCAAGGCTGCATTTGTTTGATCACGAATTCAGTAAAAACAGTAATAGTGTAAAATATATTTATAGTTTAAATGAACTTTTCTATTTTAATGAAATGCTGAATTTTTAGTATCATTACTCCAGACGTCCTTGTCACATGATCCTTCAGAAATCATTCTAATATGCTGATTTGCTGCTCAAGAAACAGTAATGTACATGCCCTAGATGTGTATAACTGTGGCCTAACTGTGTTTTGTCATTTGTCTTAAATTAAGAATTTAGAAATTAAATAGAATTATTTGCCTTTCTGCATTATGGATAATCTCAATATGCTTTTCTGTATATGTGTTCAGGCTTTGATGTGTGCAATGCTGACAAACCAGGAGAACATCACTGTGGATCAAGTCAAAAAGATCCTGAGTGAGGAAGAGGAGGGCGGCTCTGATTCTTCACAGCAGTGCTCCTCTGAGGATGAAGATATCTTCGAGGAGACGGCCCAAGTGAGCCCTCCACGTGCGTGTGAGAAGCACGCCTGCAGCATGGACTGGGCATGGCTGCTCAAACGTCTACACAAACTCTGCATGGACTTGTGCAACAACTACATTCAGATGCACCTGGACCTGGAGAGTAGTGCAGGAGAGCAGCCCACCCACCGGGCCGACCCACTCTTTTTCTTGCCCCTTTTTAATTCGGAGACCTCTACGCCTTCTCCCGGGGGCCTGTCGGGCCACGGAACGCCCTCAGAGGACAGCTTCCGCCTCCATCTTGACGAGATGCCCTCAGAGGAGGTCCACAGCCCTGGTGGGTTGAGTGCAAGAAGGCGTAAGAAGGAATGGTGGGAGAGTGCGGGAAACAAGCTGTACACCATCGCCACCGACAAGACCATCACCAAGCTCATGATCGAGTACAAGAAACGCAAGCAGCAGCACAATCACACCACGTCTGCCAAAGATGTGAAGGCGGGAGATAAGAGGGGCGAGACGGTGACCCTGCGTGGTCCGGACTCCCCAGGGCCCCAGAGGCCTCAGCAACTAGTAGAGCAGGGGCCCATGCGCCACTCTTTCAGCGCGGGGCCCGAGCTACTGCGGCAAGAGAAGAGACCTCGATCGGGATCCACAGCCAGTTCCCACAACATCTCACTCAGAGACTCTGAGGCACAGATACAGGTAAGACGGGACAGGAACTAAAGTACAGTACGAACAAGCACCACTCACATTTTAAAACAGCTGTCAACATGTTAATGCGGGTGAATCATTTTAAAATCATTATTAATGCATTTACCAGTGTTAACATTAAAGTCAGTATGAAACAGAAGTTGCGATTGTCTTTTCTTCCCTATTGACCTATCAGTAAGCCCCTCCCCTCAAACGCAGATGAGCCAATGGCAGTCGAGTATCCGTTGCACGGGGAGCAGAGCTCAGACATCTGTAGGTTTCAGCGCCATAGAGAAACACTGGAAGATCCGAAGCCCGCATCGTTTTTATGGGGTTTATGCTTCAAAAATGGAAAAACGATGTGCCTGGGATACTTGTACCACTGATTCCAGGTATCCTGAGAGGATGGGCAATGGAATTTATTTTATTCCATTTCCTAAACCCAAACAAAACGGAGCAAAATGTCCCAAAGCATTCTCCCCCAATCCCAATGAAGACGAAAACGTTCATTTTCTGGTTGTCATACTTTCATTAAGTTACAGTTTTCATTTTTAATGTTATCTTGCGCTTAAGCAAGGTATCTCTGGCTAAAACTAGCTAACCTTAAAGTTAGTGAGTCCGTGCTAACCTAAATAGCGGACTGTTCTCGCGTCTTGTACAGTGTGGGGCAAAAACACATAAACGAAGGTCTACATACTCTCTTCATATTAAACTGGTTGAATGTAAATTAATTTAATCTTACCCTGCGATACATGAACAGTGTTGATCCGGGATGTTGTCATCTGAGATCGTGATCTGAGAAAATCTTTTATATATCCCTCCATGGCATATTTAAGTCCCACTTGAATGGTGGTCCTTCTGTGTCCAAAATGTATCAGAAAGATATAGGGACAAGGTTTTCACACTGACAGCTGTCATTGTAAGACAGCTAGCAACTCCGTTTGTTTGTCCGAGTTCGCAACAGTAACTAAGGGGGGCGGGGCTTACCGATAGGGCAATTGTGATGTACAGTATATATCCACATGGAACAGCTTCTTCAATGTGAAAAAGTGTAGGGCTGGAATGTTGGGTCATTGTTTAAAATGACTAAAATAGAAATAATATGTTAAAGCTAAATATAAATGCTTAGATAAAAATAAAAACTTAATAAATCTTTAAAATTACATACTAAATATTATAAAAATTAAAACGGACAATTTCAAAATAAAAGCTCATTCAAAATATTAATAAATATAGCTGAATTGAACAAAAAAGAAAATACTTTTTACTTTATTTAAACACAACAGTAGCACAACAAATCCTAACAATCACCTAAAAGCCAAAAACACACTGCTTGACACTGATGGAGTTCTCCTTAAGAAGGTCTGTCTACAATCCCACACACAAACTAACCTCCCACTTAGATTTTGTGGAATGTTATGTTGCTTGAATTTTGAATTTGTGCTATTTTATGCATTTCTTTGTGTGGAAAATAAAACATTATTTTAATATTAAAACAATATTACAGGCTACAAATACATTGTGGCACGAAAATAAATTAATGTAGAGTCAAATGACAGAACTTTCAGCAAATTAACCACAATTTAACTAAAAAAACAATAATAATAATATTATTTTTCTGGAATTGCAGATTTCTTTATAGAATTATTTTGTGAACTTGTATTTGTCAATTTTTCCGTCTAGGCCTGGACCAACATGGTCCTTATGATCCTGAATCAGTTCCAGCTCTTGTCGGATCCCACGTTCATTGCCCTCCAGCCAGCGGTTTTCCCCTGTATCAGTCAGCTGACCTGTCATGTGACTGACCTCAGAGTGCGGCAAGCAGTGCGCGAGTGGCTTGGACGAGTGGGACGCGTTTATGACATCATCCTGTGATGACCTGGCTCATTTTTGATCTCCAGTGGCCTTTTCCATAGAGCTCTTTTCCTTGTGCTTTACTGTTTGCATACGCTCATAATTCTGTGATGCTATTACCTGCTTAACTTTGCTAACTTTTTTATTGCAGTACACAGTGATCTGTGTAATGCAAATCCCTTTTGTGAATGTTCTTCAATATCCATGCTGTTATATTCAGAATCTGTATTTTTATTTATTTCTCTGAAAGTTTATTGGCTTTAATTGTACATGTGCCATATTATGTTGTTTTTGAGGGTGTTGTTCGCTCATCTGATCCTTTAAAACGTAAACTTTAAAGTCCCCTGAACATTTCAACTAGTTGAAGTCATTGCACAATGAAATGTAGAACTTAATGCACCTTTGTTAATGCATTGATTAATATATATCTAAAGCACGAACTTATGCTTTGCTAATGCAGTTTTATGTTGCTACAGTAGTATAACCACAACACATTTCCATAATATACAATGCACACAATGCTTTAAAACATTTAACTCAGAAGATTTCAAGCCACTTCTTCATCATTTTGGAGACTCTCCTGATATCAGATCATAGAGTATCAGGCCTAGTTAAAAATCAGTAGGCCAGAGGTTTTGGCTTCATCTTTTGTCTGTAAACCTTCACAAGAAAGCTGATCCACAAACACTGCACTCGCTCTCAAATGCCCATAAACCTCATTCTGTTTAAACGTCCGATGTCCGTGCATCCTGTCAGCAACACACTGTGTGCCATAGATTCCACTACCCACAATGCAATGGGAATCTATCATCAGATACTGGTTTCAGTATTCACCAAACAACACTACATCGGAGTAAACTTGAAGAAACTTTAGTAAATTTGAGTAGCGAGAAATATAACTGCAGTGTACTTTTCATAGCTGCACCATATGTTGTCTTTGAACTCATTGAAGCTATTAAATCAAACAGTTGAAATTTAGGTACATTTTTAACTGGAGACTATTTACAACCTGTATTTATTAAAATTGGATACGTTTGCACTTTTGGAGGCATACAGTTTTATCACTTTATTCCAAAAACATTTTATTTCTTGATCTAGAACTACAGTTGCTTGAATAATAGTTTTTTTTTTTTTGTCTTCAGTCATCTGCATGTACTATTTATATGTTGATTTTGTGTGTGTGTGTGTGTGTGTGTGTGAATGAAAAAGGATGTATTTTATTTATTTTGTGATGCCTACAATGTTGTGTTATTGTGAGAAATTTGCTCAACACATATGACAAGCTACAAAGAAACTCTTTGTATCTAATTCATATACACTTATTTCAAAAAGGCTATTGTGCTGTACTTCATGTGCAATGTGAGTTATAGGAAATTGGGAACCATATACAGATATTCTTTACATACAGTATATCCAGTCCACACAGCCTATGTTACATAATCATAGTAAGAATGTATAATCCTTAGCTTCATTTTTTCATACTCTGTTGTGTTTATGGCAACTGATTTGCATAAACGGGAAGATTAAAAAGGATGTTTAAAGGGACCAAAGACAAATTTATATTCAATATCAGAGTGTTCTGAAAAACTATTATGTACTTTATTTTTAGCAAATCAAATGTGTTTTTTTTTAAGCCTGATTTGTCCAGAGTAGGAAAGGATTTCATTTTGTTCTTTCTCCAGGTAGCTACAAACTGAGGTGTAGTCTACATTTGTCTGCTTTGTGTTGAGTGCCGGTTTTGTAAGTAGTGGACTGAAAAAAAAGTTCTGTTTGACAGCAGATTGTGAAAATGTTCAGGCAATATTTTGTCTAGGCAAAAAGACTTTATAAACTCTAAGGGATATTTTTAGATGTTGTTTTTTTTTTTTCATTTTGTTCTTTCTCCAGGTAGCTACAAACTGAGGTGTAGTCTACATTTGTCTGCTTTGTGTTGAGTGCCGGTTTTGTAAGTAGTGGACTGAAAAAAAAGTTCTGTTTGACAGCAGATTGTGAAAATGTTCAGGCAATATTTTGTCTAGGCAAAAAGACTTTATAAACTCTAAGGGATATTTTTAGATGTTGTTTTTTTTTTTTTTTTTACTTGTGAATCTAAACCTGCAGCACTTGGTCTAAATCCACAGGAAAACTCGATGGATTATATTGTGCGGACTTAAGCTAAAGCTACAAATGCAAGCTAAAACAGATTTCCATGTAATAGTGAAAATGTTTTAATTTTAGCTCTGCTAACATATGTTCAATTCATAATGGCACTCCATTTTACAGTACACCAACATTAATTATCCCATGATGTACCACGTGTATATTCTTGTAAGTATTATGGCAAGAATGATATTTGTGTGAATTGTTCTTGAGGGAGTGTGCTCAGTCTGTGCCAGTACTTACGTTGCTGTTTATTATCAAACTTCTATCAATCAATTGCAGTACATGTGCATTACCCTGAATGTGTTCTGAAATGTTTGTTCGATCATTTATGTTGTAAGTGTTGCAGAATAAATAAGCAGAGTTACCAGTTGTGTGTGTGTTTTAGTTGTTGTTTTATTGGCATGAGTGACTGGGCCAGTTTATAATAATAATAATAATAATCACATATGCACATACACTGCAAACCAATTTGCTTTTCTTTTGATTGGATTCTATATTTATCTCATCACTAATTTTTGAAATCATTCTTGCTTTTGATTGGATATATGGATTTTTCAGTTACCAAGATGTTGATATAATGCTGATATGTCATAAAAAAATAGATATACAAAAAACTTAGATGGCCCCCAAAAATAGACACTTTAAGAAATGCATCAATGTAATTTAATTAGATAATAAAATATCAAATAAATTTTTTGTCTTCATCAAAACAATATTTTTATCTTAATCTTGAACAATGTTTATTGTTCTACAGTACAATTCATATCATGTTAAATAATGCAAAAACGAAATAGCATTTGAGGCCGCTGTGTGTTTGTGTATATTTTTAATTTTACACAACATTTTTTCAAGCATATTGTGTCAAGAATAAATTTACTAACTTGTAGATCTTCCTTCAGCAGAAAACCTTCACCAAACATTTGTAGCTGCTTCTAAGACTTCTGACCAATTTTGGACAACCCTTGCAACCCTATGTTTATCAACATTTCTGGGTCGATTTCTTGGTAGCACAGCCCTCTTTAGGTTATGCCTCAGCATCTCCACTGGCTTAAGGTCAGGACTCAGTAAAGCACACACTGTTTGTTATTACATGAACAAAGAATTTCAGTTTGTAGAGCTTTTTGGAAGTTATTTGCACTTGAGATTTCAGGATTGCCCATTGCTTTCTTGGAGTGATCTAAGCAGAACATCTGCTGACGGAAAGAGTAGCAACAATCCAGAATTTTCCACATTTGTATAAGAGACGGGCACAGAAGGCTAGTGTCGCGGCTCGCGCTCCTCCTCCGCCTGCGGGTAGGGGTAGGAGGAATCGCGGGTCAAAGGGAGGTAGGCAAGACCTTAGGGATGTGATCCAGACAAGGCGTCAGCGCTTTCGTCCAGATCAGAGTGATACTTGAGTATCTACTCATTTCCTTCTGGGGTTTTACATCTGCCCTTTTCTTCCCCTTCCTAATTCCCCTATAACCAACAGCACTCCACCTGACCTAGGTTAGGTAGGAATTTCCTGCATTACAGTCTCCTATGCTGGACCTATGATGTTTTGGTTGGTTCTATGACTTCATAGCAACCACCTTACTGATGGTTCGGACTAGACCGGACTAGACGTTCGCCTCTGCAACGGTGTTCCGGCGCGGGAACCATGGTGGGTGAGTATGATCCTAACATAACAAAATGTGGAAAAAGTGAAGCGCTGTGAATATTTTCCGGATGCACTGTACATTACTAAAGAACATCATTACTGACTTCAGTCTAGCGCGAGTATTATGCTCTTTAAAAAAACACCTGTTATAATAAGTGAAGCTATTTACACTGTATAATGAATAAATCTCTTACCACTTATTTACACTGCACACGTCTACGGTGCGTTACGGTCCGACACGGCCTCCGGAGCTGATTGTGGCCACTCTAGTCAATGCTTGTGTTTATACCAGCTGTGCTGTGGCACGTTTTTCTGAAGCGTCCCATTAGCGGCTCTCTGCACTACATCACTGAAGATAGGCGCCTAGTCTATTTTTGACGGATTATAATAATAATATTAATCGTCTTGCTATCGTCTATCGGCACAACCCTAAAGCTTAAAGGCAGGTCAGTTAACAGCACACTGGTTTAAATTTGTAATTAAGACATGGTGGATGTTTATCTTTCCAATGTGTATATCATAATGTATTCTCTTGAAAATTCTTTATTGTCAAATGTGTGTTGAATGTAAACTACTCTTAGGAATTTCACCATTAAATGTGAATTTATCTGAGAATATTCTTAAATAAGAAAATCTATTCAGTGATTGGTCCATGCATATTTCGTCATTCAAAATCCCGTTTGTGGCACAGCAAAGTGACGTGAATCAACTCTAAGACTGACACTTAAGATTTAGTCCTACACTTTGCCGGGAGGACGGGCTCCGAGATGAGGGCCCCCTTCACCCTCTGGAAGGCCTCTTCCGCTGCTGGTGTCCACTGTATCTTCTCCGGCTGCCCCTTCCTGGTCAAGTCTGTCAGGGAGGCGGCTAAAGAGGAGAAGTTGGGGATGAAGCAGCGATAATACCCCGCCAACCCTAGAAAGGCTCGTACCTGGGTCTTGGTCTCGGGTCTCGGAGCGTACCGCCTCCACCTTCTTCTCCTGCGGCTGAATGAGACCCCGTCCCACTTGGAACCCCAGGTACTTCGCCTCGGAGAGGGCAAGGTGGCATTTCTGAGGGTTGGCGGTGAGTCCAGCCCTCCGGAGCTCCGAGAGCACCCTCCGTAACCGGTCCAGGTGGTCTTCCCATGCCTCGGAGTGGATCCCTGGAGCGCGAGGAACCATCGGGTCACCCTGGCATTGGTATCCTTTGCGCGGGCCATCCATTGAAGGGGTGTGTGGTCCGTGACCAGGGTGAACTTCCGGCCCAGGAGGTAGTAGCGCAGCTCCAGGACTGCCCACTTGACGGCCAGGGCCTCTTTCTCCACCGCGGCGTAGTTCCTCTCGGCCAGGATAAGCTTCCTGCTGATATAAATGACCGGATGCTCCTCACCTTCCTGGATCTGACAGGACGGTGCCCAGTCCTGTGTCGGAAGCATCCGTCGTGGCGGGTGCCCCGTGGAGGCCAAAGGGAAGGGTCCGGTACTGCCAGTGGCCACTAGGGGTAGAAAAAGCAGTCTTAGGTTTAGCATTCTCAGAGAGGGGTCCCTGCCAGTAGCCTTTGGTGAGGTCTAACGTGGAGATATACCGGGCCCTTCCCAGCCGGTCCATCAGCTCATCCACCCGAGGCATGGGGTATCTGTCGAACTCGGAAACCTCATTGAGGCAGCGGAAGTCATTGCATAAACGGAGGGTGCCGTCCGGTTTCGGGACCATCACGATTGGGCTGGACCACGGGCTGCGTGATGGTTCTATCACCCCCAACTTCGGCATCTGATGTATTTCCTCCTCAATAGCTCGCCGACGAGCCTCAGGGACGCGGTAGGGCCGTTGCCTGACGACGACCCCTGGCGGCGTCCGGATGTCATGCTGCAGGACGCTGCTCTGAGGACCATGACTCGGTCTCCAGGCTGGAACTCCCGTGGTTGGGCTGCCCGGTTATAGTGGCGCTGTTGGGCCTGCTGCGCTTTCGTCAAGTGTTCCCGGACTAATGGCATGACCCGGTCGATCCTTTCCCTCATCTGTCTGACGTGCTCGATCACAGAGCGATGGGCTGCCGGCTGTTGCTCCCAGGCCTCCTTTGCCACATCCAGGAGGCCGCGGGGTTGCCGGCCAAAGAGGAGCTCGAAGGGGGTGAAGCCAGTTGAGGCCTGCGGAACTTCGCGGATCCCGAAGAGGACATAGGGGAGCATCAGGTCCCAGTCGCATTTGTCCTCCGCAACCACCCGTCTCAACATCTGCTTGAGCGTTTGATTGAAGCGTTCGACCAGTCCGTCGGTCTGGGGATGGTAGACTGTGGTCCTCAACTGCTTCACCCGCAGCAGCCGGCAGAGGTCAGCCATTAGCCGGGACATGAAGGGGGTACCCTGATCGGTCAGGATCTCCGCTGGGATGCCGACTCGGCTGGAGAGCAGGAAGAGTTCCTGGGCAATGGCTTTGGCGGTGGCTTTTCAGAGGGGCACTGCCTCAGGGTACCGGGTGGCATAATCGACGATCACCAGGATGTGTTCATGTCCCCGGGCAGACTTAGGCAACGGCCCCACAAGGTCCATCCCGATGCGCTCGAAGGGCACCTCGATGATGGGCAGCGGTATCAGCGGACTGGGGGGAGGCATCCTGGGTGACATCACTTGGCAGGTCGGGCAGGCTTGGCAGAACCGCTTCACTTCGGCCTCGCTGCCCCTTCCTGGTCAAGTCTGTCAGGGAGGCGGCTAAAGAGGAGAAGTTGGGGATGAAGCAGCGATAATACCCCGCCAACCCTAAAAAGGCTCGTACCTGGGTCTTGGTCTCGGGTCTCGGAGCGGAGCGTACCGCCTCCACCTTCTTCTCCTGCGGCCGAATGAGACCCCGTCCCACCTGGAAACCCAGGTACTTCGCCTCGGAGAGGGCAAGGTGGCATTTGCGAGGGTTGGCGGTGAGTCCAGCCCTCCGGAGCTCCGAGAGCACCCTCCGTAACCGGTCCAGGTGGTCTTCCCATGCCTCGGAGTGGATCACGACGTCGTCCAGATAGGCCGCGGCGTAGGCCTGATGGGGCCGCAACAGGATGTCCATCATCCGCTGGAACGTGGCGGGTGCCCCGTGGAGGCCAAAGGGAAGGGTCCGGTACTGCCATAGGGGTAGAAAGGGTAGAAAAGCAGTCTTAGGTTTAGCATTCTCAGAGAGGGGTACCTGCCAGTAGCCTTTCAACATTGAGAACGTCGAGATATACCGGGCCCTTCCCAGCCGGTCCAACAGTTCATCCACCCGAGGCATG